AGTTGAATGACCTCCCCCTCCTCGACAAACATATTGAAAAGCACAAACAAGATGAAGAAACATGAAAGAAGAGAAGAAAAGAATGATCTGATTCCACTTGCTGTTTAACCATTACATTTTAAAACATGGTTGCATAATGAATGCAAAAGAGACAAGAATGGAGAACTAAGAGAGATATTGAATGATGACATCTGGCTGGAGTTGCTCTTCCACGATTTACCTTTTGAAAATTTTGTTGCATATTGACTTCATTGAGCTGATTCTTTTGTAGTTTGTGTAATTGTTGTATTTGTGGCTTATCAAAGATGAGATTAAATATCCCAAAATGCAAGGTTTCCAGTTGAGTTAGCGGAAGTTCTTCACTCCCTGGTCCCCCTTTTTTTCTCTGGTTTTGCACACACCTGCACCAGATAAATGACACAATGCATTGCAGTTGCTGCACCCATCATCAGTTTCATTGAGAGGAAGTGTGAGTTTGATCTTTTCAAGTATTTCTACTTGAGTATATGATTGTATAAATGAGAAGGAATGTAAAGATTTTTCTCACATGCATTGTTCATGGATCATTCTTGCAGTTTTTATTGGCCTTGGATATGAGTTTATTAATTGGTTCAACTCTCCTTTCTTATCACCTCTTATTTTTTTTAATGCTTTTATTTTTCAATTCTCTTCATCTTTATTCCTTGAAGTTATTATTATGATTACCCATTTCCTTTTTTTTTTTTTTTTTTTATAGGATTTTGAACCGGTGAACTATTAGGTCAACACTTTTCTGGTTTTTTTTTTTTTTTTTTCTGTTGTTTTTCTTTTATTCATTCTCTCCCCTTATGGTCACATATTGTGAATTGAGAATACTTCTACCCCTCAAATTCTGTCACCATTGACACTTGGTGGCTGTGACACAATGCTGTTTGTCACATTGAGAATTTCTCAGATAAATGATAACCTGTATGCTCATCCAACCTACGTATCCCTACCAAATGAGCCCAAGCTTTCAGTTTTTTTCTCCATTTGTGTGTGTATGTAGTTCTTCTTTGCTCTATTCCCAAAACCCATCTAGTGGGAAATTAGTTGCGGGTCCAACAAGATGTTTATGTTTTCTCGGGCTGAGAATTGAAATTTATAGCACTTAAACGGATCCAGAAATTTAGCTATGGCTATTAAATTTTGAAAAAGAATGAAAGGTGAGAGGTATATAGTTTGAGGGTATTCAAAGCTACTAATACCATAACAAAAGGGATTTTCTCCTGACTCGTAGAATTCCAAAAATTTCCCTCCCTCCTCAGAAACCCCCACGAAAAAAAAGCTTCAGAGAGCAATCACCTCCAAACCAACTCCTCTCCTCCCACCCATCATTGCACCCAATGATTTAAAATGCATCTCAACAAAGATGTGTAAGTTGACGAGGGAAAAGAACTGTCACTATGCAATGAACTCTAAGAACACTTGATTTTAACACATCAAATATATAAACAACTACCAATACATATCATGGTAGAAACATGCAAGTGAGAAGAAATCAACTTAGGCACACAGTGAACTTCAATGAGAGTGAGGTTAATCTGAGTTTTCCCCAGAATTACTAGTCAAGAAGCAAATAAAACAAGGAGGAAGTTCTCTACATTCTGGAATTTATGAGTTTTCCTGAGTTGCATTTGAAAAGATTCAAGAAATTTCGAATGCTCGGGATGGGGTCAGCTTTGGAGTACATGAATGTTCTCTGCCACACATTCATCTTTCACCATGAACTGGTGTTTTCTCATGAGATTCTCTCTCAACTAGCTCTATTACTACAACAACTAGGATGGACCCAACTTTTACACCAGTAAAAAAATGAATACGCCTGTGTATAAATATCTAGTATGATCTCTCAGGCCTTTGTTCTCTACATATTTTTGCTTGTATTTGTCTTAGGTCCAGGCTCAGCAACATTTGCATTGTCATCGTTCAGGTATCTCAGGCCTTTGTTCTCTACATCTTTACTCCTTCACTCCTAAAACTTCGCTAAAAAACTCCAACAAATGTGGCAACAGCAAAAACTAGAAACAAGACTCCACCCAGATAGCCGACCTGATCCAAGATCAAGAGTGAGAAGCGTGTAAATCGAAATGATATCTTCCGAGTAAGAAGGAAATTTGGTTCATACCAGTTTTTCAGAAATGTAGTTGGCAAGGAATGCTCCCCCTAATATGGCAATTGTTGTTGCAAAAAGGTGTCCAGTAATGGCTCCACCAGCCACACCCCATGGAGACTGCGGTACAGTTTTTTTAAAAATGATGTAATTACCATTATTACTGAAACTTTGAGAAACATCAAACTATGACCTGTGTCAATGCAGAAATTTGTGGAGACCGTACCTGTGCAGCACCTAGAGCAATAGTTGCAAGCATTGATCGGTCTCCCCATTCCTACGAGTAAAAACAGAAGTGTAAGAATTATGTCTGCTTCAACCCATGACATTATGAAACGATTCATATGACCTAACAAAGTTGCTGATTTTTTAAATAAGAACAGAATGCAATAGTAATTTTGCAGTTCATGCCCGCAAATGAAAAAAGAAAAAAAAATTGAAGTGTGGGCCCTATCACAGGAAAAATGGATTGCCGCCTTCTCAGCAAGAAAACTGAGATAAATGTAACACCACACAATCTTTGCATTTAGAGTCCAATGATGCAGCTTCCGGAGGAACATGGAGCTACAAGCAAGCAATGCAATGTTTTTGGCTCTGAACTTGGCACTATAGCAAAAGCTTTAGTCACTCCATCTCCATCTCCATCTTACAGAAGTAATAAAATTACCCCTAGAACCAATTTGGATTTGAGAGGTTTGCCTAATGTTTGTTGCCTTGCTTCTCTAGAGTCTATCTGCTGTACCAGGGCAGCACGAAACATCTGTCTCTCATACACATGCACATGCACGCATGCACATATACCGATGAAATTATATTTTTGTGACCAAATATGAAAATATTATTTCATTGTTCTAATAGCCACTTCATAAAGATCAGATTTGCTCCAGTAAGAGAAAAATTTGCCTGGTTTTCAAGTTGTTTGAAGAAAATCAACCTTCTATCTACTGAGCACAAAGCAATGTTGCTGCTGACAAGGACAAGATGCTTACAGCGAAAAATATGAGGCTGAATGACTTCCACACAATCTCAAGTGGACTTGAGAGCCGTTGTGAAACCTGAGGTAATCAGATAAGGAAACGGCAATAAGAAAAACACGCAGCAAATAGCGCGATCTACAGAGGGCTAGACAGGAAATCTGCTGAAGACATTTGATAAAAATATTAGTAATAATAATGGATGCACTGGCATTGAGTTATCTACCAAGTATGAGTGAACTACCAGAGTTTGTGAAATGATTAATAGTAAGCCCCATAAAAGGAAGGCTACTAAATAATAAATCACCTTTTCCACTCATACCAGAGTTGGTGAAATGATTAATAGTAAGCCCCAAAAGAGGAAGGCTACTAAATAATAAATCACCTTTTCCTTCACAAGCTCCTCTGCTTCAACAAATTCGTCAAGTTCAGCACTGCTCTTCTCACCACTTTTAGTGACATTTGATGGAAGGTCCCATGCATCTTTAATTGATTTGAGACCAAAGAACATCAAAAGAGTAACTGCTGCATATTCTCCAATTGGCAAGGCTGTTTGGATAACCACAGAATCACTGAACTGTGAGGAAGTTCTTACACCACATAAAGTTTGACATGTCAGCTCTATTGTATAATAAAAAACAAATGACAACGTTAAGCATTTCAGTATAGAACATTTACTTTCAGCTGTTGATTATCAATATCACTCTAACCCATATATTATAAACCATTCAACAATCAAGGAAGGTATCTATTTGATGGGAAATGTGGCGTGATTATTCCAGTTACATGACACCTTGGGGGCAAGACTTCAGATTTATGACGTGCTACTAGATTCAAAATATATGACGTGTTTTAAGAGATGTTCAGAACCATATGGGCTACAAAGTTGATGTGAAGTTTAAGACCTTCGCTGTTCTGAATCTATAACCCAGATAATCCTAAATTTCATGAGGTAAACAGTGTCTTTCAGCAGATTGTCTTTCCACAATATTATTCGACACAGAACCTATTGTTCACTGAGCAAATAGTTAACTAGGATGGTCAACTAGAAAATTGCACATGACCAGATTATCTCTCTTCGATTACTCATCCTCAATTTGAATTATTGCACTGGCAACATCAACATTTCCAACATTTTCATCTGCAACAAGATCTGGATTTAGCATTCTTCAAAGATACAATCAGTTAAAAATAGTAGTCACCATGCAAATTGAGGATGAGTAATCGAAGAGAGATAATCTGGTCATGTGCAACAAGGATTTGACTACACCACTAAGAAGCATTATGAGTTCTAGGGATGAAGTCCAAAATGAGAGTTGGTTGTTGAGGCCGAAGGAGGAGAGTTGAAGCTAAAACTAACAACAGACAAAGAACAACACAGGGCAGCCAATGGGCGGCAAAACCATGAAAAAGATACAGTGCAACCATAAGCTTTGTTGCTCTGCAGTTAGTTACTTGATTAACCAGTATGTGCCAGCCATCTCGTAGAAGTCAACACATTGTCATCCTATGATTTAGTTTCTTCTAAGAAACAATAATAACATATTATTGTACCTACTGAAACAAAAAATAACAGTATTGGACCCTGTATGTTGCAGCTTATCAACAGTAACTACTTCTGTAAAACAAAGCTTACACAAATGACAGATTAATGCTTTCTAGACCAGCCTTTGGGAATTAACAATTCTTCTACGAAGAACTCCTCTAACAAGAGAGATGAAGTTCTAGTTGCATAGGCCATTCCAAAGCTTAATTGGGTCAAGTTAAAATGTAGATGAATTTTTTTATCAATATTTGGGCAGTCAAACTGCGGAACAGGTTAGTTAGCATCATGCGGGTTTTCTCATCAGATAAGGTTGATAGTTCACTGATCTTCTCCTCACAATTCATTTAACTCTTATTCTGCATCCTGAGGTCGTGAGACCCCACTGGCTTCATTCTAGCCGCCCCTGCGTGCCCTTTGGAATAAGAAAGGTGTATTTTTATTATCATTGTACAAAATAAAAAAGATATCCTTACTTGTCGAACATGTAGTGAAGTGATCAAAAGAAGCTGAGGAGGTGTGATAAAAACCATACTGTAGTACTCTTTAATTGTTTATATACTCGGAAGGAATAAAATGGATTTATTGTTTTATATCCTATACTCTTATATTGCCATTTTTGAAGACATTATCAATCATATAAAGCAAATGTCGCAAGAAAGAGTGATGCCGAGAATAGCAAATGTCGCAAGAAAGAGTGATGCCGGGAATTACAACTTACTTGTTTGGAATTGAGCAGGTACTGAATGAAATACCCGTCCAATTATGACCGACAGAATTGTCATAAGTGATAGAGCACCCATTGATCCCAAAAGAACCTGGTCAATTTTCCAATAGAACGTGAGAAAACTGCTTCCCACACAAACTTTCATTCATGAATACAGATTTTTTTCACATCTAGACATTAAGCGGCTTCTTCAAAATTATATACAATATTGTTTAAACCTACAGCATTTGAACATCTAGTTTTACATAAAATTCTTATACACCCATTGACCACTATGTATTCATATGCCTACAATTCCTTCAATCAAGTTCCACCAAATAATTCTTGAAAGCATATCTCTACATAACTCTTTCGTGCCTTGATACATATATATAGTGTCACTCGCCTTTTTCTGAGTTCAGGATTATTTCCAGTTATAGTTACCTTGCAATCCTCCTCAGACATAGCAGAACAGCACAAATATGTCTTTCTACCCTTATATGAAGCTAAGACTTGTCCATAATAAAAACAAAAGATCAAGTGAACAAGTATAACTCCAAAAAATTGCAGACCGGTGTATCCACAAACACACAGATATGGAGATAGGTATACACACACACACACACATACAGAGAGAGAGAGAGAGATGCACTGAAAGTAGATGTTAGTAGAAGATAATACCAGTCCTTTCCTGTATTGCATGGCCAAGAGTCCAGCAATGAAAAATGTCTGTTCAACAAGAAAAAACCATAATTTAAGCTGAATTTAAGTTTGGAAGTAAATAGATAATGCAGCCAAAACGAGAATCAACTCAAATCATTTGACTTTAGCAAAACAATACAGCCATGTACAGGACACTGAAAAGGAAAGAAAGCAGCACAAATGTGTATGTGTGAGAACACCATCATTTTCTAATAAGGTAATAAATCTCACACCAATTCTACTCAACTGAAAAGTTTATCCTAACTACTTGTTGATCAGTTGAAATGGTATGTGAACCTTGGCATTGTTGTATGGTGCCAGTGTGCCATAGCTGCAACTAATGAATAAAAACTCCAGAATATGTCAGGCTTTTCTTTCTGAAAAACTCCAGAATACCCTATACTAAGATGCTAAATAAATGTCCAAAGATTACACTTAACCTGCCTCAGATCTTAACATAACATAGACAGTGTTTCTCTAGCCTTAGCAGTACGGCTGTTCAAGAAGACACATCCATAAACATGAGGGGGAAATGAAAAGGAGAGAATTGGAGATAGAAACAGTTAGGTCTACTCATATTTCTCAGCTATGGTCTAGTCTAGTGTTACACACATTGTACCCATGCAGGGCAAAGTCCTCAAAATCTCTCAAGGGAATTGAGAATTCTACTAGGTAACAATCAAGTATGGATTGGTGTAGCCTTTCCTACAAGTTGATATTAAAAATATGTTTTCATACGTTTTTGGTCTTAAACGTTCTAATATTCGTAACTCAAGAGGATCGTGGAGAAAACTCATTTTTGTTAAGCAAGGGCTAGCCAATGAACAAAAGAACTTGAAAGTTCATGAGAGTTTGATGTAGCCTCCAATTATCAAGAAAGTGGCACCAAATCCTGTTCTCTCACAACTACAAACATATGGCCAATGATTAATTACAGGATATTCAAAATGAGGTAGCATGGCAGTTCTATGACCAAACCAATACCACATTTCAAACCTATGTCACTTATTGAAACAAATGGAGGCAGATAACGAACAATGGAAAGAATCACACTATTCAAATTACTGACCCAGTTACCAACCAATCACAGATAAAACTGCAAGTGCACATGGAAAAATGTGCAACCCTTAAATGCAATTGTTGGGTGGTGGGGAGACAAACATGGATCCAATTAGTCTCAGAAAGGCCAATATTTAACAAGCCAAAATAAACCTATCAATTACCTTATCCCCAATTTCGGACACAAATATTAATGTGAATGCAGCAGTGAAGCCTGACTTTGCAATAGCTGCTAAAATTGATGAAGGTCCTCCCTTTATGAAGGCAATCATTGAAAATAATAAAGCACATCCAAATAGCACAATGGCTATAGAGAGAGGATAAGGAAATTGATTAGGAGGCTTCTCACTGCCATTAATGAAAAAGTATTCATCAGTTCACACTTCAAGTAATCTCCAATCATAGTCCAACTGCAGCAGAACTCATACTATATTGAAATGCATTAAGACTTAAGAGACACCATTGAAGCACATTAAATAATAAAACCAAATACAAAGGCTCATAAGCACTGAGAATACTATGATATTCAAAGACAAATTTAGTTTTGAACCTCAAAATCCAACCTTGTGTAGAACATGCTATTACTATGTCAACTAAAGTAGCTGTGCCATAGACTTTTGACAAAATTACAACCCCAGATAATTCTGTTGATGATTTACACCCAAATTGAAGATCGGGGGAAAACCCAAACTTATTTGTCTATATTTCCAACCATGCAATAAATCTCTTATTTATCTGTCACATAGAACTAAAAGAAGATTTAGGTTTTGTATTTGTTTTGAAACGACTCGAAAAGGATCACTAGCTTCCATTATTGGAATCTGCTGCTTCAAATTATGAATTGAGAGCTATTGGACCCTTACTGTTTTCCATGCATGCAGATAATTTAAAGTAATTATACAAGTATAATTACTTTAAAACTGGTCCAACATCCATAAGGGCTGAAACGTAAATCACAGTGCATATACTGCTAATAGCAATAGTGATGGTTTCGTGGTAGTTCAATCCAAATGAAATTTATAATATTCACGAAAATTAACCGAAAAATCACTCACATATTAGATGAACTATCGCTGCCTGGACCATTATATAAGATTTTTTGGTTGACATTATCCTCTCTTCCTTCATAGCCTTCAGATCCGATGCCAACATTAGAAGCTTGTGCTGTAATTTGGCCATGGACCAAGTTCCTCGGTATTTCCCTGCATCGCACTATGAATAAAGAAACTGTTACTAAATTTTGACACATAATGACGAAATGTCAACATATACCACATGCATGAATGGAACAAGAAACGTAGCTCCTTCAGAACATGAGATCTAAACATATTACAAAATAGTGCTTTATCAATATTTGTAAATACAGCTCCAAAACCAAGAGAATTTTCATCCCAAATTAAGTTCAAGCATGCCTCAGCCAAGCTGGCTACATGAAAATGGTACTCTCAACTTAAAAAAGAGATAGAAAACACAGATCAAGTATTTCCCTTGTCCAAATGTTATAATAGGTTGGCCTTGCCCCTGCCATTGGTGTCTGCTGTCTGGTTACAGTTGCCCTTTGGAGCCTAAATCCCAAAGCTAAGAAAACCAAGGCACTTCCAGCAATCTGAATAAAGATCCCCCCTTCTCAAAAAAAAAAAAAATACATTTAATATGGCAGAGGGCGAGAGAGAGTGATCTAAAACCAAGGAACTTGAGGCAGTGTGGGGCTGAGAGTTAATTTTGGAAACAGAGTAGATTACAGTTGGTAAAGCAGTACACTGGTTGGAGTTCACCATAATTTTGAGATGTAGGATGGAGTTACTTTCTTCTCCTTATATGGGGCTCCCCTCAGGTTATTCCTTTAGCACCAAAGCTGTATATATTCCGTGATGGAAAAATATGAAAGGAGGCCAACAGGAAGGAAAAGACAATAACATTTGTGCAATGAAATTTACATTGATAGAAAATATGTTGTGAAGTCTTTCAACATATTTAGTATCCTCTTAATTCCATGTACACATTATGTGTGCCTCGAAAACAAAGGTGAGCTCAATGTTACCTAAATCGTGGGTTACTTTGATATGTGGGCAAGTACACGGTCCAATACTTTCTTAGGTACGCGAAACAATGGGGGTAGACTCAGCTGGTACAGTGTTTTAGGTCGCAATTTGTTTTGAAACTCTTACCTAGATTGTCTTTACTACTATACAACATTATATATCATGAAACATCTATGAACATTAAGTCAGTTACCATTTATCTTGCATTTTTGCTTGATTGTCTATTATCTAAAACAATATATAATTACAAATCTATATTTATGTAGTCAATTAATATATATTTTATATTTTGCAACATGTTCTAAAGCAAATCGATTTAGGGTTAGTAGTACAATTGGGACGTGTACATTTTAGTGATCGGGATTGCAAGCCCATCCTATTTGGGATCAATGTGCCCAGATCATGGGTCGTCAAAGGTTCAGTGAATTTTAATAATTACGGGTAAGCTAAAAAAATTTAAATAAAAAAATTGTTTTTCATTTCTTACAAAATACTACAAGATTTGGCCAAAAAAGACAATCTCCCTGTGAGTCCCCAAAAAATTGAAAGAGTTGCTCAACATCGAATGCCTTTACTTCACAACTGGCATACAATAGGGCAATTTTACATGTGCAAATACAATAAATTATGTAGCATATCTTAAAAACTTTTGGGACCACGGTCTCTCCTTCCCCCTGGCTGGATTCACCACTGCCTATGTCTCCTTTGAAATGCACCACAAGAGGCTCAAGTGTAGTTACTCCCAAACTGTTCATAATGTTCACTCTACCCCAACCCACATAGTGAAACTTCAGTCTCTTATCTAGGCATCAGCCTACAAGCCTCGCAGAAGGATAAGAAACGAAATGAGAACTCCTCAGGCATTGGGAAATGGATCCACATATTATTAACCAACTATCATCTTATATGCACGGCTAACAACAGTAAGTGATTGACCCCAGATGCACAGTTATCAACAGAAAAGGCTGACCTAAAATTGCTGCCCAACCAAAGAGGCCACATTGGAAGAAAGTTTACAACACCATAAAGACTTGGAAACAGAGGAGCCCCTCCCTTCCAATATTCTGTACTAAGACCACGTATCGGAATTTCTACTCTGGAACCCACTCACCCAGGGGCTATAAGCATACAAGATACAGAGAAAAGCATCCAGCAGCTCCACATCACAATGAGTCACCTTTATAATATGAAATCTCACAAGAACTCCTCCTAGGAATGTAGCATAATTTGCAAGTGAGACATCCTGATTAACAGCAGTTCTGAGAAGTGTTGAAAGAGATGACTGCAAAAGCCCATCCCACACAAATAACCCAACACCTGCTATAGATCTAAAATTATTGGGAATTCCGCCCACCCACCCAGTCCACGGCACAATTCAATCACCTTCATGAAATGAAATCCCACAACAACTCCATGGGGGGCTTAACATAATTTGCAAGTAAGCTATCCAGATCAGCAGCAATTCTGAACAAGTACTAAAAGAGCTGAATTCTCACACCCGCAGCAGATCTAACATGTTTGGCATGCCCAAAAACAAAAAAAAAACTTTTTTGCAGCCTCGCCCATGAGAAGTGAAAACCCATGGCGATTGCCTCAATGCCAATAACATCTCCCTCTCCATATTTCCTTTTTATCACTTTCTGTCAAAGGCTACTCCTCTCCTCTGTTTCTTTGCATCACATCCACTTCCTCAATAATGGTTGACCAAAGCTTCCTAATATTCAGCAGATACAACATATCCCAGGCCATCTCGATTTGGCAAAGATATAGCATCCTCGAATGTTTATCTGACTAACCAGAAATCAACAAGAATAGGCTATATTTATCTAAACTGCACGAAACATCAGCCTGAATCCTCCCACCTTCTGAGCATCACCCAAAATGTCTTTTATTGTATTGTTTAAACACAGATTATTAGCAAAAATTATCTAAATTTTCCTTTTCTTTAACATAAATTTGAGGGTTACAACTTCCTTGAAAGCTGTTGGAACTAATCCAAGAAAAGGTTCCTGAATCCTGATAACTGTTGTATCTAACAAACCCATTTGCAGATATGAGATACCACCGTTAATAAACTGAAAGGTGCAAAAACTGTTTAAGGTCAACACCACAGACAAGCAGGATGTTGGACTACTTTATTCTCTCTTGATTCTCATACACAACATGTCATTTATCAAGACCTCGATTCACCGTTGACATATTCGATTGTAACTCTTATTCTTTGATTCACACGAAACCCTGCCCTCACATAATTGAACATCCAAGACAAAATCATTCAAGAAAAAGCTCATGCATTCAACTCAGCCATCAGTTTCTCTAATGATTTTTTCGAGACTACTCCAATGAATTCGATCGTGCAAAATGGACCCACAAAGTACATAGTGAAACCATAGCATCAAAAACCCAATCACCGAATTTGATCTCTTCCAGTTCATCCCTGCCACCAATAACCAAAACCCACTAGTACAACAACTAGTTACAACTTACTGCATTCTACCCTCTGCTTATTATAATGGTGTAAACTCAATCTACTCCAAAATAGAGCAACCCAGATGCTCAAAATTCAAAATGTTTAAATTAAGTTTCTCCAAAATAGTACCCAAGTTGATCATGAGAGACAGCAATTACAAATCTACATGACACCTACGTTGATATAGATACATACCCATTTTCATACCAAAGTCGAAGTTGGAATTCATGGACAGTTTTTATATGAAAACGATTGAAACCATTAGAAACTGAAACAAATAATAGAAAAGAAAATGATAGAGAACTTACATGACGATATTGATGGTGATGAGGGTGAGGGTGATTTAACTTTTCTGGGTACAAAGGCAGAGGAAGACAATGAATCAACCAAAGCCAACAAGGGAAGCTTTCCTCTTGATATCACCGATGGTTGATGAACCAACCCTTGCATCTTTTTTTCCCCTTAAAAACTCTTGATATTAACACATATCTACCTCAATTCAGGAACCCAACTCTGAATTTACCCAATTTTGTTGCTTTAACACGAATCTGAAGTGATTTTAAGGGAATATGAACTTGAGAGGTTGCCCAGTTGAGTGTGGACTGGACTTGTCTGAGTTCACTCTATCTTGTTCTGAATTTCGTGCTCGGTAATGGGTCTCTTGGAAACTGCCACGTGCACATAGTACGTGGGAGATAATGTGAGGGATGAGGCAAACGAAGGGAGAACTAATAGTGAAACGATGTCGTGTGCTTGGATTATGAATCAATTCAGGCCCAACAATCGTATCAATTCCTGTTGATTCGTATTAAGTTTTAAAAAATTCACATCAAAAATCAGTCATTCCGTACATGACATGTTTATTAAATGGTTAACACAGCACGCCCCTTGTTACCTGTTAATTCTATTTTTTTTTTGGGAGAAGGGGAGGGGGAGAGGGAGAGGGAGAGAAAAGAAGACTTAAACTCTTAATATTAAGAAGACAAAATTTTCACAATATAAAAAGTACCATTAGACCAAAGACCCGCTAGTTTAATTATATAACACACATAAAAAATTAATTAAAAAAATATTTGTTTTATAACAAATGGGTCATAATTGTTTAGTAAATTGGTAATTGATTAATATATTAATTTATTAAATGAGTAATCGAGGAATAAATAAGTTAAGATACTCTACTCGAACACAACTCGTTTAATCTCTATTCCCGTCTGTAAATATATTTTAATTCACGCCCCTTGCAACTCGACTCCGCCTTCACCCCACCCCGCCGCCCGTCTCCCACACATAACACTCAACTTTAGACCAAATAAAGATGTCATTCCAAGAAACTAAATCCTTTTAAAATATTTCCTCAAACATCTTGCAAGATAAAAAAAAATCATAGCCTCTATTTTTTTTGTCTCTAACATTTTTTCAATCACCTAATCTGCATCGAGACAGAGAGGGTGAGGGAGAGATGAAGAAGGGGTGTGCATGGTTGTCTATGTGTGTTGAACCAGTCCACACAAAGGAAATTGGAGAAGACATATTTTAGAATGTATATCACAAAAGCTCTGATACCAGATAGGATTTTAGATAGAAGTTCAAAAATAGTATTTCTTTTCTTAATTGATTCAATGTACAAGTCTTCTTATTTATAGAAGGAGAGATGTGACAAATTCTACTAATGTGTAGCTATAGTTGGACTAAATTCAAATTCCTAGGATCTTATTTTCTTAGCTGAAAACTTGGTTTCCTCATATTTTGGAGAAACAGTTTCCTTTGTGTGGACTGATTCAGTAACGTGTGTGTGTGTTCTATGTGCATTTTGTACCTATTGCGTGGGTGTGTGCCTGATGGGTACGCGTATTAGCACACTTGAGTGATAATTCTTCAAGATTTTCTATCAAGCATATGGTTGGCAATGTGTGTTTGTTAAGTACATGGAAGTTGTGAAAGGGGTTGTGCACAAAGGGGGGTCGTAGAAGAGGGGTGAGCCTTAGGGGAGGGGGGTGTTATCTGCATGTGTGTGTGTGTGTGTGTGAAAGAGAAGAAAGATAGCTAGGAGAAAAGGAAAGTTGTGGCGTGGTGACCCTAGCAATGTCGTTGGCGCTGGGGGAGAAAGAGAGAGAGAAGAAAAAATAAAAAAGAAGAGATGATGAGTGGGCCATGGTCTGATAGTGAAAATGAGTGAGAGGTGATGGATTTGGGGAGGAAGGAAAATATGAAAATATATATATATAATAAACATAAGAATGTGTTTGAATTTTATCTCAGTCATATTTTTTCTCTTAAAATCATCATCAATCACTTACCTCACTCATCATCCCTTTGTCAGACTTAAACGTTCACATAACTCATTTATATCACATATTTAATCATTTATATATTTCCTCCCTAAAAATATCACACCACTCATTTCTATCATATATTTAATCATTTAATATTTAATTAATTTTAAAAAAATTTAATATAGTGGTATCGATTTTTTAGACGTTCGAATTTTGTATTTTATCGTGCCTTTAGGCACGAGTTATGACTAGTATATATATATAACGAGTTTAGCGGGGGCGGGGATAAATGTAATTTCATCCCTGCACTGGTTTATACAAATATTTTTGTATACGTTTATCGTCCAATATATATGATTCATTCATAATTCAAACAAAACGGGTGAGTCTCCATTTTTCTTTGGTCAATTATCATCCCTACTTATTAACTAGGGTCGGCAGTTGAAGTGGTATGGCCCGATTGGGCGTGGCCCAATTTTGTGGCTCATGGATGAACCAAAAAATTTTTCAGGCTAGCCAAGTCAAGCCTGACAAGTTGTCCACATCATTAATGGTTGGTCCATCCCAATCCCAAGCCTAGAACTTAGTCCGCATTACTGCTTGACCCGGCCCAAAACCCGTGCTTGATAGGACGCTGAAATAATGACATTCGACCCGTTTTCCCACTAGTCTCAATAAAAGTAGAACGTTATATTTCTAAGAATTGATTGAGATACTAACATGGAGTTTTATTACGTATGCATATGGAATTGTATTCCATTAAAGAAAAAAAAGAAGGGTTTTTCTACCCTCGGTTCTTACCAAATTAGAAGTGAATGGAATTTTAAATAATATCTTTCGATATATAAATTCAAAAGTTTATTTATATACAATGAATAACACTTATAATCCATAGAAGATACGTGGAGTTCACAAAAGAAACCTAAGAAAAGTTTGTTCTCTACTTTTCATCATTTCCATTTTTAATGGCCTTTCCTCACGAAGAGATCCCCCTTCCCTAGCCACTGTTAGTCTTCCTCCCACCACTACTTTCACTCTCCCCATCGCCCACCCCCAACAAAACCTCCATAGAAGCACATACACTCCCTAGTCATCGTCATCCTTATCCCTGTAAAAATAAAAACATCCGTAATGAGTGAATGGCACTTGGGCCTTCATCATGAGTGTCTCTTTCATCTTTGGTATTCCTATTTATTTTTAACTGTGGTTGGTACAACATACAAAACTTACATCCCACCCAATTCCCAATATCCTTGTTTCATCCCTTTTTATATAATTCACACACTATATGAGTCAAAAAAGAAGAAACGATCGTGAAAAGGTAAAAGCTAAAATTGAGTAAGTTAAAGAGTGAAAGAAGTTGAAGATATGAAATTAAGAGATAAAAGTGGCTACATTGAAAATGTAAGGGAGTACAAGAGTGGTTACATAAGAAAAAAAAATGATAATTTGTAATTGGAGAAAATTTTGCTTTCTAATTAATAAATTAAAATTTTGTGATTTGAATAATTGGGGAGGAAAGATCTCTCATTGTAATTTGGTTGTCTTATTATGTGCATATGAATATATGTTAGGTAAGGGTGTTCATGGGTTGGGTTGGCCCATGAATCCCGTTATTTGTCATGAAAAAAATAGGTTCGAAGTCAAATAATTAGTCTACCTAAGCTCGAACTCAATTTCCTACAAGAGAGAACTTGAGCTTATTCTCAAACTCATTAACTAACTCAAAACTTAGCCCATAAGTTCACCCGTCAATCCGCCCCAGCCCGCCCAACCCGTCTGTCGTCTCACCCAAAAAGTTAGGTGCACTAAATGTTCAATTCAAAAAAAAGAGTTAGGTTCCTCTCTTATTCATAAATAAAATTATTAATTATTTTT